GGGGAGGATGGGGGTACCTTGGGGAAACAGGATGATTTGGATAAAGGAAGGTTGGATAGGGGAGCAGGGAAGCACAAATCTTAGTTAAGGGAGCCGCCTTAGGGTTGGCAAGAGACTTGAACACAGAGTGGCTCCAAGGAGCCCAAAGCAATGTCCCCAGTTAGTTCCTTGGGAAGCTGAGGATAGGGAACCTGAAATGACCCTATCCTATAGCAATACTGACGAGTATCTTGCATATCACCATAGAATCTTCATCTGGTGATGGATGGAGATAGAAACAGAGACCCACATTGGAGCACCGGACTGGGCTCCCAAGGTCCCAATGAGGAGCAGAAGGAGGGAGAACATGAGCAAGGAAGTCAGGACCGCGAGGGGTGCAACCACCCACTGAGACAGTTGGGCTGATCTATTGGGAGCTCAACAAGGCCAGCTGGACTGGGACTGAAAAAGCATGGAATAAAACTGGACTCTCTGAACATGGTGAACAATGAGGGATGATGAGAAGCCAAGGACAATGGCACGGGGTTTTGACCCTACTTCATGTTCTGGCTTTGTGGGAGCCTAGCCAGTTTGGATGTTTACCTTCCTAGACATGGACGGAGGGGGGGAGGACCTTGGAATTTCCATAGGGCAGGGAACCCTGTCTGCTCTTCTCTGGAGAGGGAGGGGGAGAGGAGTGGGGGGAGGGGGAAAAGGGTGGGAGGAGAGGGAGGGAAATGGGAGGCTGGGAGGAGGTGGAAACTTTTTTTTCTTTTTCTCAATAGGGGGACTTGATTGGGAGAGGGGGAGGGAAAGGGGAGGCGGCTGGGGGTAAGAGACAGAAATCTTTAATAAATAAATTAAGTAATTAAAAAAATTAAAAAAAATCCCTACTTTAAAATTGGTTTAGAAGTCTCTTTTCTCCACCTTGTGTTTTAGAAGAGCAGATTGTAAAAACATCAATTTAACTTGTGCTAAGTGGTCGTTGTTTGCTTATTTTAAACTAAAGACATCTCTGCCATATTTGTTGATCTTCTGCTTTGTCTATTCAAGTCGAATACTGGGTCAAGCTGCTGTGGCTGTCACTGTAGGAAACTAGTTCAAGTCTATATCACTGTCATCATGAAAACGTTCCATTCCCCTGAGCAGTGTTCTTACCCTCTATCACTTCCTGCCTAAATCCAAGTTAAAATCCATGATTTCCATTGGGTTTTAGTGCAGTGTGATTCTACGTGGTCCTTTCCTTTCCATGTCACAGTAGCTGTTCTCAAATACATTAAATAGAGATATGTTCTGCTCTTGACATCTACACACTTACAAAAGCAGCTTCGTACTTTGTTTGGTGTGTTTGTTTTACTATGCTGGCTTACAAAAAGCAGTTCTCATTTCTAAGCATGGTACTTTACAATTTTGAATGCATTACAACATTACATTGGAAAAGTACTGAGCCCCTAAAAATAGCATTATATTTTTAAACAAATGAATGATTTTTTTACTTACACAAGCATAGGCTTTTTTATACTTCCACAAAATAAATATCTCAATTAAATTTTAAGGTTACTCTATTGTGTGCCACAGTGATGAGCTTAGGACAGTTAATACCCGTAGAAGATCCTAACTGTTTAGTGTTATTTACACTGATATGTCCATCATCACCTAATCTGGAAGGTGAACAAACAATATTCAGAATGTGACTGACTTTGTGTCAACAACTGGGAATGGTATAGTTTTAATTAATCACTTACAAAACATATAATGGAACTTAGTCTTGAGTGGGAATTTTCTTCATGCCCCTCTTATGGCCTGCGAAACCTAAAAAGAGGTCAAGATGATAAAGGAGCCCTTGCTAAGGCAGACCTTACGGTAACAAAGGGAAAATGGCAAGTGTACATGGGTAAATTATCAGTAACAGGTTAGCAATTATCTGGTACTGAAATCAAACACTGAAGTCCTAAAACGTCGCTTCTGAAATACTCTTTCTATCCTGAAAGAGAAACTAGAGAAAAGACATGACTCCCTCAGAAAGCAATGACTCGATTCAGGTTGTGACTTTATATTTAAGCACCACTCAAAAAAATGGACATAAAGCAAGTGATTTCCATTTCCCCATCACTATTCCAGCTACACAGCTTCGAGAGTTCTGTTCTCATTACAAAGCACTTTCTCCGTCCTCAGAAAATAAGACGGCCCTGCGACAAACTGGACAGGTGGAATTCTCCAATAACCAGCGGTCAATGCAGTAGACGTGGTACTCATGGGAGCAAGGTAGCTTACGAAGTTTGTCGCCTTCCATATATTCTCTAATACAAACACTACATGTCTTCAATGCATCATTTTCATCAAAACTTCTCATTGCCAAATTATCAATCTGTTCTTTGGTGAGTCCTCTACGTTGTTCGTCATTTTCATTTAAGAAGTAAAAACGAGCCAGATCAAAAAATGATGGAGAGGCATTTTCATCAATGATACCTGGGGCCCTATGTCGGTCTGCTCTCCTGGCACCTGGTGCGAGAATTCGGGTTCCTTCATTCCTGCCTTCAAACATGGCTGACCTACTTCCTGAACTTTGACCATTGGAACTGGAGCCAGGACTGGAGCTGGAGTCAGAACCAGAACGGTTACCACCAGAACTCCCTCTTCTACTCTGTGATTCTATTCTCGCCAGCTCACTAAAACCAATCATTATCTGCCTGAACATTGTTCGAATCTGAACAGATGTAGTGCCACTTGATCTACTATTTACGAATCTACGAATAGGAATCCTGCTAGGATGCACATAGGTTCTCACACCTGCACCTACAGGCTCAGAACGTATAAAGGTGGGCCTCAAACCACGTTCACTATGAGAAGAGATTATGTTGTTTGGGATCTGAGACCCTGAGCGAGACCGAGTTCTGCTAGCTATGCTATCTCTCGGTGGGTATTCTCTCACACGAATTCTTCTGACTTGAAATACGATGGTTGGAGGTCTTTGACCAGATCTTGCAGCTTGACCATTGGTACCTGTGTCCGAAGACCTTGCCCCTTGAGTGGCAGTTCTCGACGCAGAAGCTGCAACAAGACCTCTACCTCGCTCACTTATCAGCTGTCTCAAAATTGCAAGGGTACGTGTTCTAGAACTTCCCTCAGTCTCGTTTACTAAAGGATGTTCAAAAGTCTGAGATGACATGCTATGATGAGATCTTTGTGGAATGTCATTTGCTGGGTGCAGAGGAGACCTACTTCTTTCAGATCTGGCTCTGGTTCTTCGGTGTTCTGGGTACAGGCTTCTTGCCCTCCTCTGACCTCTGGTGGATGGCACTTGGGTCAATGCTTCAGAAGTGCGTTCTGACCCAGATGGTCTGGCAGATGATGTCTCTGAAGAGTTTAGACCTGTTTAAAACAAAGAAGGGGAGCGGGAGAGAAAAGAACTACAATAATTAGGAAATCATATAAATAACATTAAAGAATTTTGCAATTCTGAATGAATTTTACATTCATAGATCTTATGCTGTTTACAACGCTGATTTCTACGTGAAAATAAAAAAAAAATATTCACCACACCATGAGTAACAGCGCTGTTCTAGAAGAAGCTACGAGACTGAAAAGGCTACATGTTTTTTTCTAGTCTATTGTCTAAACAAAATCAAATGACTTAATTGCTAGTTTTGGGGACTAGTGTTTGTATTTTCGTTCCAATTATATTTCTACCAAATTCAGTCTTTATTACTTCATCTAGGGGCCTAGCTTAAGTGCCTTTGAAAATATGAAGTTGCTTTAAAATACAAGAATTTTGTAGTCATAGTAAACATATAAACAAGGCTAATGGTTTATAAGTTCTTGAATAATTGTCAATATCAAGATTTTAAAATATCACGAAAATGAAGATCATATGAAATGAATAGCCTGAACCTGGAGTAACAGCATGCCTGGCAGTGTGTTTACGGACTAATGTACCAGCACCAGCTCCTAGGTTATGGTCAATCTCTGTTTCCTGCAGAGAGGGAGGTACCAGTCCTGAGTTTAGAGCCAGCTTGCTTACTTAGCAGCAGCACTGACCCTCTGAGCCAGTTAATGCTGGGAACTGTGGTGTGTCTTGTAGATCATCAGAATGGCTGGCAGTATAGTTGCCTTCTGCCTGCTAGATACTAAGAGCAAACCCTCTTCAGTTGTGTCAACCAGTGTCTGCAGTCGTTGCTAATCCCCCCATGTGGAACAAAGTTACACCCAGTTTGAAGGCACTAGGGCAGAAAAAAAAATGTTTCCTTTTTGCTGATGAAGCCATACTTATCAATGTGTTCTTTGGTGAATCCTCTACGTTGGTCATCATTCTTATTTAAGAAGAAAATACAAGCCAGACCAAAAAATGACGAAGAGGCATTTTCATCAAATATAACTGGGGCCCTATGTCGGCCTGCTCTCCTGGCACCTGGTGCGAGAATTCGGGTTCCTTCATTCCTGCCTTCAAACATGGCTGACCTACTTCCTGAACTTTGACCATTGGAACTGGAGCCAGGACTGGAGCTGGAGCCAGAACCAGAACGGTTACCACCAGAGCTCCCTCTTCTACTCTGTATTTCTATTCTCGCCAGCTCACTAAAACCAATCATTATCTGCCTTAACATTGTTCGAATCTGAACAGATGTAGTGCCACTTGATCTACTATTTACGAATCTACAAATGGGAATCCCGCTAGTATGCACATAGATTCTCACACCTGCACCTACAGGCTCAGAACGTATAAAGGTGGGCCTAAAACCACGTTCACTATAATAAGAGATTATGTTGTTTGGGATCTGAGACCCTGAGCGAGACCGAGTTCTGCTAGCTATGCTATCTCTCGGTGGGTATTCACTCAGACGAATTCTTCTGACTTGAAATATGATGGTTGGAGGTCTTTGACCAGATCTTGCAGCTTGACCATTGTCCGAAGACCTTGCCCCTTGAGTGGCAGTTCTTGATGCAGAAGCTGCAACAAGACCTCTACCTAGCCCACTTATCGGCTGTCTCAAAATTACATGGGTACGTGTTCTAAAACTTCCCTCAGTCTCGTTTACTAAATGGTGTTCAAAAGTCTGAGATGACATGCTATGATGAGATCTTTGTGGAATGTCATTTGCTGGGTGCACAGGAGACCTACTTCTTTCAGATCTGGCTCTGGTTCTTCGGTGTTCTGGGTACAGGCGTCTCGCCCTCCTCTGACCTCTGGTGGATGGCCCTTGGGTCAATGCTTCAGAAGTGCGTTCTGAGTCAGATGGTCTGGCAGATGATGTCTCTGAAGAGTTTAGACCTGTTTAAAACAAAGAAGGGGAGCGGGAGAGAAAAGAACTACAATAATTAGGAAATCATATAAATAACATTAAAGAATTTTGCAATTCTGAATGAATTTTACATTCATAGATCTTATGCTGTTTACAACGCTGATTTCTACGTGAAAAAAAAAAAAAAAAATATTCACCACAGCATGAGTAACAGCGCTGTTCTAGAAGAAGCTACGAGACTGAAAAGGCTACATGTTTTTTCTAGTCTATTGTCTAAACAAAATCAAATGACTTAATTGCTAGTTTTGGGGACTAGTGTTTGTATTTTCGTTCCAATTATATTTCTACCAAATTCAGTCTTTATTACTTCATCTAGGGGCCTAGCTTAAGTGCCTTTGAAAATATGAAGTTGCTTTAAAATACAAGAATTTTGTAGTCATAGTAAACATATAAACAAGGCTAATGGTTTATAAGTTCTTGAATAATTGTCAATATCAAGATTTTAAAATATCACGAAAATGAAGATCATATGAAATGAATAGCCTGAACCTGGAGTAACAGCATGCCTGGCAGTGTGTTTACGGACTAATGTACCAGCACCAGCTCCTAGGTTATGGTCAATCTCTGTTTCCTGCAGAGAGGGAGGTACCAGTCCTGAGTTTAGAGCCAGCTTGCTTACTTAGCAGCAGCACTGACCCTCTGAGCCAGTTAATGCTGGGAACTGTGGTGTGTTTTGTAGATCATCAGAATGGCTGGCAGTATAGCTGCCCTCTGCCTGCTAGATACTAAGAGCAGACCCTCTTCAGTTGTGTCAACCAGTGTCTGCAGTCGTTGCTAATCCCCCCATGTGGAACAAAGTTACACCCAGTTTGAAGGCACTAGGGCAGGAAGAGCAGTGTTTCCTTTTTTGCTGATGAAGCCATACTTATAAACAAGGAACTAAGTAGTAGGAAATATCAATGGATAATGAAAACCAAGGGGAGGAAATCTCATTTAAATAGACTACTTCTCACTTTGGTCCAGTGAACACAAACTACCCAAAATATGTTGGCGAAAACAGCATGACTTTCTCATTCATACATTAAGAAAATGCCACCTCTCTTTTTATGAACAGTTACTTATCACTAAATTAACTTGTGGCATTTCTGGATAATCTTTGACTAACATTTACTATTATAAATTTCCTATCATTCCATCAACTGCCCACCTCCCAAAGCACAATATACCTCTATTTTCACGTGAGCTATGCGGCAGTGGACCCTCTTTTATTTGCTGTAGTCTTCTGAGCAACTCCTCCTCGGTGCTTTCTCCTGAAAGTTAACAATATTGGCCAAATTACAAATGGAGATCAATCAACAAGTCCGTTTCTGTCTTTTTTCCACGCTCAGGACTCGTTTTGAAGGATTTACCCAGGCTGTCTTCAAACTCAACAACCTCATGCCTCAACCTGTTGTGCAGCTGGGATCACAGGCACAACCACCAGGTCACCTCTGGCTTTGTTATCTGCACTTTAAATTGAATGACTGACTTGCCAGTAACCATACCAGGTAACAGCAAAACCGTTGAGAACTGCAGTTAAGATTAATTCTAAAGTCTGGTATTGTTTGCTCAAAATGCTCCACCTAGTCTTGCTAATGAACCCATCCCCAGGTTGGTGGAAATAGAAATGGGAAGGAAGACGTAGACTGAGTTCTGACTAGGATCAAATGAGACCTTATCTGCGTGAAAGAGAGTGACTAAGGACAAAGTTGTAGTTGTCATTTTCCCCACGACTAACTCTAGGGTTACAGTTGGGACACAGTCAGAGAATAAAGGATGACAAAATAAGATAAGTCTGTCCTAGAGCCTAAAATCCTATTAGTTTATAACTGGATGCATGGCTTGCTAACTAAATTGTTCAGCTCAATTTTATTTAATCCATTTTACTAAAATTTTATATTATGATTGTTCCAATTATTAAAGAATGAAATCAGGCAACAAATAGGGCAGGCAGTAAATGCCATTCAGTATCTCTTGTATTAATATTTTTTTGTTAAAGAAACATATTATAAAACAAGGTACTTCTTAAAAACCTAACAACCTGCATATATAACTTTCCTTAGATGTAGCTTACCTGGGGTGCCCAGCAAATTGTTGTCTCTCATAAGTCTATAGTCTTCTTCGCTCAGGTTATTTACAAATTGATAGAAAGCTTCTTCACGATCCAATCGATCCATTTGACTTCTGCGCCGTGCTGCAGATTGGTCATTTCTTTTACCGTTAGAATCTGAGTTTTCCATCTTGATAAACAAGTGGAGAATTATCTGTCTATTATGACATAGTACTGAAATCCAATAAACTGGATTTTCAGTTTTCTTCACTCCGCTTCAGTGGTCTGGCCCAGGAGCGGACTCGCTGGGCTCCATCGTCGGAGAGCCTCTCTGTTGCTGCCGCCCGCTCTCAAGCCCGCCCCCGAATGCCAGGGAGAGACCCGTCTCTAGCCACTCAGCACGACGCGTTCGGAGACGTAGCTCAAGCAGCCATTATTACCTAACAGTTTGAGTGTTCTTTAAATAAACAGTTTGTTAGTTCTTGGAGAAATTTGTAAAAGGTATTCTGATCATGCTCATGGACAACTCCTCCCCCAGTACCACAGTCACTTTCACACTCTCAACTCTATGCCTCCTTTTTTTTTTTTTAATTTATTAACTCACTGACTCATTTATGCTGTCCATGTACTTCTGGTGTGAGGCCATCCACTGACATACAAGGAAACACGCCCTTATAGAAAACTGACTTACCATCTCACAGAAGTCATCAATTGTCAAAAGATCCTTAACAAAGGGTGGAGCCTGATAAGCTGCTCCTCTACATTCTACAATGTTGGATGGCTTGATCTTATACAGGTCTTATGCAGGCAAACACAGCTCCTATGAATTCGCAAGTACAGAAGTCTTATAGTGTCCAGAAGACATTGATTTGCTCTGGTCTTCCCAAACTTCTGACTCTTGCAGTCCTTCTGCTCCTTATTTCAAGATGATCTCTGACCCTTGGGAACTGGGGGTATGTTATAAATGTACTATTTGTGGCAGAGTATTCCACAGTCACAGTTGTAAAGCAATGGAGTCTTTATTAGTGAATGCATTTTTAAGTTCACTAAAAGTGAATACTTCCTGTTTTGCACATTAATTTAATTAATTGCATAGCAATGTAATATCAGAAAATATTTCCATACATGCTGTGTAATGATTACTTTTCTTTTGTGAAAGTATTCAAAAATATTTTTCTTTTATCTTTTCATATATACAGTATATAATTATTATCTATAGTCATTCTTCTTTGCAGTAGTTCACCAGAAATTCTTACTTATACTTTATGATTATGCAATACCCATTGATCAGCTTTTCTCTATTCTTCTCTACACTTTCGTCAGCTTCTGGCTATCACTATTCTACTATCAACTTCTGTGTAATCAATTATATTAGATTATTTATAACAATGGGACAATGCATTTTTCTGTTTGGCTGATAATTAATATATTGACCCCCACCTTCACCCCCAGTTCCAGCCATATTGTCCCCCTTATAGGATTTTTTTCTTTCAATATTAATTATTTGGATATGTAAGTTGTATCCATTTCATTGCAGCTGTTTTGATTGGGTTGCAATAAAATTGCACAGTAATATAATTTTCTTTAGTTACTATACCCAGTTGAGTGGTTGGTGGATTATATGGTTTCTTATATTAAGTATTTGAGTACATTTTTCATAATGGCTGCTTGATTTTTTCTTTTCCTTACTTCCTTTTTAATTTTTTTTTATTCATTTTACATACCAACCACAGTTCCCCCTCTTACCCCAACTCAGCTCCTATCCACTCCTCTGAAAGGGTAAGGTCTCCCATGGGGAGTCAACAAAGTCTGGCACATTAAATTGAGGTAAAACCAAGCTCCTCCCCACTGCATCAAGGCTGAGCAAGGAATCTCACCATAGAGAATGGGCTTTAAATACCCAGCTCATGCACCAAGAATAGATCTTGATCCCACTGCCAGGGCCCCCACAAATACACCAAGCTACACAATTGTCACCCACATTCAGTCCCATGCAGGATCTACAAGTGTTGGTCTAGAATTCATGAGTTCCCATGAGTATGGTTCAACTGTCTGTAAATTTTGCTGTCATGATCTTGACCATCCCTTGCTCATATAATCCCTCTTGCCTCTCTTCGATTGAAATCCCAGAGCTCAGTCTGGTGCTTGACTGTGGATCTCTACATCAACTTAAATTCCTTACTGGATGAAGGCTCTCTGATGATAGTTAGGGTATTCACTAATCTCATTGCACAGGAAAGTCAGTTCAGGCACCCTCCCCACTATTTCTAGGAGTCTTAGCTGGTATTATCCTTGTGGATTCCTGGGAAATTCCCTAGCCCCAGGTTTCTCCATAACCCTGGCTCCCTCTATCAAGATCTCTCTTTTATTGCTCTCCCACTCCATCTGTCACCTAACTCAGCCATCTCCTTTCTTCATGTTCTCATCACTTATCCACTCCCCTCAACTGCCCTCACTCCAAGTTAACCAGGAGATCTCATCTATTTCCTCACCCAAACATGGGTGATCCATGTTTGTCCTTCTTGGGGTCCTCCTTTCAACCTAGCTTCTCCGGAGCTGTGGATGGTTGTATAGGTATCCTTTTCTTTACATTTAGTATCCACTTATGAGTTAACACATATGTTTGTTTTTCTCAGTCTGAGTTACCTCACTCAGAATGGTCTTTTCAGTTCCATCCATTTGCGAACAAATTTCATGGTGACTTTGTTTTTTTATAACTCAGTAATGCTCCATTGTGTAAATGTACCACATTTTCTTTATCCATTCCTAGGTTGAGGGGAACCTAGGCTGTTCCCAGGTTCTGGCTATTATGAATAATGCTACTATGAGCATAGTCAAGCATGTTTCTCAATTGTATGATTGACCATCCTTTGGGTATATGCCCAAGAGTGGTATTACTGAGTCTTGTGGTAGATTGATTACCAATTCTCTTGAGAGGTAGCTATTCTGATTTCCAAAGTGGCTGTACAAGTTTGCACTCCCACCAGCAGTGGATGAGTGTTCCCATTACCCCACATCCTCTCCAGTATAAGTTGTTATAAATGTCTTCGATCTTGGCCATTCTGACAGGTATAAAATGGTTTCTCAGAGCCATTTTGAGTTGCTTTCTCTGATTACTAAGGATATTGAGCAATTCCTTAAATGTTTTTCAGCTATTTATTCTTTTGTTGAGAGTTCTCTATTTAGATCACCAATTAGACAGTGTCCCAAGATGCAAGGTACCGCTTACACCGATTGAAGGATGAGATGGGTAGACACCAGTGCAAGAATAAATTTAACAACATAAAGAGCAATGTGGCACCACCAGAATCTAGTGGTTCTACAACAGCAAGACATGAACATTCCAACATAGAAGAAACGGAAAAAAAAAAAACCTTATAATCACTTTTGTGAAGATGATAGAAGCCCTTAAAGAGAAAATTAAAGATTCCTTTAAAGAAATCAAGGAAAAGACAAGCAAAAACTTGGAAGTAATCAATAAATCCCTTAAAGAAAGCCAAGAAAACTAAGAAAAATCATCAGAGAAGTGAAGGAAACAGTTTAATAGTGAATAAGCAAAACACAAACCAAAGGTATTCCGGTAATAGAAAATCTGGGTAAACAAACAAGAACTATAGATGCAAGCATACCCAACAGAATGCCAAGAGATGGAGGAAAATCTCTGGCACTAAAGAGATGACAGAGGAAAAAAATTCCTCAGTCAAAGAAAACATTATAGCCGAAAAAGTCATAACACAAAACATCTAGGAAATCTGGGACACCATGAAAAGACCAAGCCTAGGAATAATAGGGATAGGAAAAGAAGGGTAATTCCAGCTAAAAGGCACAGAAAATATTTTCAACAAAATCATAGAAGAAAACTTTCCCAACCTAAAGAAGGAAATGCATATGAAGATACAAGAGCTTACAAAACACCAAAGAAACTGGACCACAAAAAAGTCCCCTCACCACATAATAATGAAATCACTAAACCTACAGAATAAGGAAAGAATATTGAGAATTGCAAAGGAAAATGCTAAGTAACATATAAAGGCAGACCCAACAGACTAACACTCAACTTCTTGATGGAATCTCAGAAAATCAGAAAGTCCTCCACAGATGTTATGCAGATACTAAGAGACCATGGATGTCAGCCCGGACTACTATATCTGGTTCTATGAATTTGTGGTTTCTATTGTTTCATTGCTCTTCAAATTTTGGCGATATCTGTATCAGTAATTTCTTTCTTGCTACTGCTTTTAATATTTTCTCTATTTTGACTCTTAACATTCTTACCATGATAGGATAGGCAGAGTTCTTTCTGTTTATCCATTTGATATCCTCTGTATATTTTAGATTTGACTATGATTTTCAAAAGTTTATGAAATCTGTAGACAACCTTTCTTGAATTTTTCCCTAATTCTCTATGCCATGTATTCCTAGAACACCTGCTGTATATTTCACTGTTTCATCATGTCTTACTTTTCTCTAAGGCTTTGCTTATTTTCTTCATACATTTTGTTTCTGTTCATTATGACTCTCACATTGTATTCATCTGTCTTCAATTTCGTTAACTCTTTAACTTGAAAGCAAAATGCACTCTTGTTTTCCTCTAGTGAATTTTTCATTTTAGCTATTTATATTTTACTTGAGAATTTTCATTGTATATGCTCTTATTTGTTTTACTGAAAGCAGATTTTATTCCTTATATATGTGTATAATAGGTGCTTTGGTAACTTTGTTTACAAAGTCCAAATCTAGGTGTTGCCAAGTTTTAAAATTTTATTTTTCATATTTGTATGCATGCACTATGTGCATGTGCCTTTTGGTAAGACAATTCTCATGCAGACAACAAGAGGGCACCAGATCCCTGGAGCTGTAGTCATAGGTGCTTTGTGAGTTGCCTGGTGGTTGCTGGGAACCAAACTCAGGTCATTCCAAGGATGAGTCATATTTCTTGTGAATGGATTCTGTTTTCTTTTGTCATTATATATCTTGATTTTGTGACTGATAAAAATAAGAAAAGATATATTTTTATAGCAATACTGGGTACTAACCATTTTCCTTTTATGGCAACTAGTGCTATTGTTACTTATTTGGTTATCAATTTATGTTCAAATGACTACTGTGTTGGAAAAAAAGCATTTTCCTGAATTTTCAGTATCTGATCTACTTTTTCACATCTTTCCCTGTATTATTACATCATTTAAT